ACGGCAACCCACAACGTTCGGCCGAATCAAGCGGCAGCTAGTGAAACTATTTAGCGCTTGTTGCTGTGGTTGTTGTTGTTGTTGCTGCGTATTGTGGTGTAATTTATGTACGCCTGGTGGTTGCGACAAACGCAAATAAATACTGGGGCAGCGTGGGCGGATGCTATATAAGATAAAACTTGAGGCTTTAAGTTGGGCAAATGAAGAAAATCGAATTTCGCAAAGGCTCCAAGGTTTCGTGGGCAAGCGAGCAAGTGTGCTCCAGTCGCAAGTGCGCGACAAGGATATACGCCGGTGGAATGGAGACTATCCAAATAGTTAGATATTCTTGATTTGTGTATCTATCTCCAATAATTCTAGAGTTATTCTTAAAAAGCCGGACTCAAAGGCGTTATTTATTGATAGTAGGGAAAGGGAAGAACATATTAAAATACGATATATTTAGCTCGTGCTGCGCAGGACAGACGAGCTTAAGATTTCTTGGCTCTAACTAAGCCAAACATTTACAACCATCGAAAAGCTAATGTCCGAATGAGAACCTCATAAGATCATCGAACCTCATAATATTGATAACTGCCAGCTTACTTTTTTTGATAGATTTTGCTAACTAAATGAATATTTAGCTATGGATCTGAACTGATTTTAGGGATTGTAAACCTTATAAAAAGCCAACTTGACGGCCAGTGATCAATTCAAACAGTCTAGTGTTGACTTTGAAAATTCAGTTAAAAGTTGTAAAAAAGTAGTCAAATTAGCAACTGATTCATAAATATGCATTAAATGCGCGTCGAACGAGATATTGCCTGGTCAAATCCACAGATAAACGACTTAGCTATGGGGCTTTCTTTTTATTGGAACGGTTGGCAATAGACCAAATAATCGTAGAAGACAAGCACACAGTTATACACACATACACACACAGACACACAACTACAGTCATTCATTCACTCACACACACACACACACACAGACGCACACCGCATAGCTTTGGGGTCATTTCGATTTAATTTCTGGCACAGCCGCGACTTATCGGTCATGGCATGGTGTCGGCGGCGGGCGGTGGGCGGTGGGCGGTGGGCGGTGCAGGGTGTGGGCGGTTCGATGCTCATTTAAAGCGCCATTCAAAGGACATTACATTTTATTTTAGCAGCGCGCACGCTGTCGAATTAACTTGCGGCCTCATTTATTGCATTCCGAAAATGATTTCGTATAATTTTGCCGTTAACGCATAAAATTTTAATGCGCTGCCGCAACTTTGGCCAGCGGCAAGTGGCAAGTGGCAACTGGCAACTGGCATGTGGCAAGTGGCATGTAGCAAGTGGCTTTGAGGCTAAAGGCCACTGCTGTCGTTCCGTTTCTAGTTATAGTAACAGTTTTTGTATTAGCTGTATAATTAGCTGGGCAAATCGACATTTTTAATGGGAACTCGAGGCCACCAAAATCGAGGCATCCGTTTGAATGGCTATTAGGCCACGTTTGCGTGAGATCGAAAATGATTTATAATACATGCACACAGGCAGACCGACAGACCGACAGACAGACAGACAGACAGAGAGACAGACACTCAAAATATGGTATAGGTAATCAAATTTATTGCCATTATTACATATGCTGCATGATAATGCAGTGCGCTTGCCACTTCCCACATCCCACTTGCCACTTGCCACTTGCCACACTGCCATTGCCAGTGTCAAGTGGGGCCAAGTAGCCGCAAAGTGTGTGGCATGCATAATTTATGGCAAACAGCCGCCAGCCGCCAGCTGTTGGGCCACTGCCTTGGGCATTTAACCGGCCTGGCAGCCGCCCACTCTTAGGCCAAACAAATGCACAGCAGATGCGTCGATTTTTGACATGCAGTCGTAAGTAGTTGGGTGCCTGGATAACTGAGTCCAGCTTTTGACTGTGGGCGTGGCACCTAATTGAGCAATTAATTGCAATTAGGCATTACATTGTTGTTGCTGCCAGGCGTACGAAGCGTACGAAGGCCCTGCAAATTCAGACACTTTGGCAGCAGCTTGCCAGGCCATTTCGCGTGCAGCCGTTAATGGCCGGCGCTTTAGTGGCAAGCGCGGGCTTCGCTTATGGCCCAGTCCGAATGACAACAAGGCCGCACGTAATCCGTTAATGGCGTTCATTAATAAAGCCACGACAATCGCTGATGTATTCCACGCGTAACAGCTAAACAGCAGCAACGGGCTTCGATTCCGCTCTGCGAACTTGTTCTCGACGAGGGCCCAAAGCGTTTTAGTTTTGGGCCTCAAGGCGGCGGACAATCCAATCACATATGTACGAGCCAAAATCTACGTTAAAACGTGGCCTACGTGATGTGATTTGCACAGTTTATTGTCCCAGTTAACAAATGGTGTATGTTGTCTGCGTGTGCGTGTGTGTTTGTGTGTATGTGTGTGTTTTTTTGGCGTGTGTGTGCGTGCCATCAAGGTCAATTACATTCCCGAAAGCAAATAACTAACCTTGCATATTGTTCATTATTCATGCAATATCTTAAGCTGATTATATTATATCTTATTAAATTATCTGCCATTTCCTGGGCCAGAGTTGATTTCGTTTAGATTTCAAACTGGTTTCTTCTTCGTTGCAATATTTAAATTTAAATTCTACTGCCTTGAACAAACAATTGGTAATAAATAAATAAAATAAAGAAAAACGTGAAATTAAATTTACTTTTAAAGCATGAATATAGTTCGATTAGCATACATCCGTAAATTGATATAGTTCTTCGTAGTTGGAAGTCCAAAAGCCATTCAAACACAAATTTTGGAATTATCATATATTTTTTGCTTAGTAAAGGAGTTACTTATTAGGCATAGATATTATAAATATAATGCCTAATACTCGTATATTGATAAAGTCAACGCAAAGCTAATGCAGCTTGGCAACTACTGAAGTTCGAAATTCTTGGCCCTGGGCGCATATAAGTTAACAGCCATTAAAAGTCTGTCAATATTTGCAGAGCAGACAAATTTATGTAAATTTTCAACCACACACACACACACACACACGCCTGCAGCTGCAAACTTTTGGCCTATGATTGTTGTTGCCTGAAAAACAAGGTGTGGGACAAACAGTTAGTTCCTGTTGGTATTGGTAAGTGCGCGCAGTTGTGAAGTAGTTCGATCCCGGACCGGGCTGGCTCTGCCCGGCTCTGCCCGGCTCGGCCCGGCCCGGCCTAGGGGAGCTGTTGTAGCCGGAGCCGGAGCCAGGCTCCACGTGCTTAGGAATGATGCAAAGTTTTTGGCACATCAATAAACTAAACTTGAATTGAGTCGATGGGGCGCCGACAGCTGGAAATGTGCCTTAAGCATGCCATGAATTATTTAGTTTCTGTTTACCTTCCACTCCATTCCATTTGATTCCATTCCTGTTCCGTTCCGTTGCTGTTTGCAGTCCCAACTTTGGCCAATTGCGAGCACGTGCCGCCACTGGCCACCTTCTTGATTGTCCTTTAATATGCACCACAAGGCGCCGCCGCAGTTTGCGCCGTTTGCATTCCGGATCTAACATCTAATTGTCCTAATTGACCTAATGCTGTACATTTCCACCAAATTGACAGTCAAGGCTATCGAATTAACTTCGAAATTCACGTAAACTTTTCCAAAATTTGTATAACGAAACTTTAAAATAATTATTTTTCTATTTTACTAATCGCCATAAGCTTCTAGGCTAGTAATATTAATGCAATTTATATTCAGGATAATGAAGAAAACCCCCAAAATATATATTAAATTGATCGGGTATCTCTAGCTCCTTGTTTTGCCTGAAGAAAACCCATATCAAAAGTTTTTTTTCAACCTTTTAAAGTAAATTTTGTTCATGCATTGTCTTTTTCTTTTGGTAATTGTGGATGCGATTTTAAAAATCTAAAATATTTCAAATTTTACAAAAAGTTGAAATAAATATGGAGTAGTTTTCTGATATTGTGAAATATTTAAAAAATTTGGCGTATTTTAAAAACAATTTATTGTGAAAGCGATAATATTTAGTTGCTTTATGGGAAAAATTTTTGACTCCGGGTCCATTGTTAAAGAAAATCATTAAAAAATTTAAAAATATTCCAATTAAAGAGCCGACACGGGCTTGACAACAACACACACATCTGACGCCATATTCCCGCAGGACTAATTTTGTCGCAGACTTTAAGCCAATTGTTGAAGCCATATTCGCAAACGGAAATGGAATAAAAAAGTTAAGCTGCTTGGCTTCAGTTCAAGGTTCAATCTATGAATATTTTTCAATATCAGGTAGCCAACAATTACGGATGGGAAAAGTCGTTGCAAAAAAAAAAAACAAAAAAAAACAATGAAAAAAAAAAAACAGAAAAATAATAAAATAAGGAAAGAAACAAGGAAAAATCCCTTGCCATGGCATGGAATTGTAACTGTCCTTTATAAGCTGAAGAAGCAACATCGGCCGCGGGTTGGTCGGAGTGGTGGGTGGGGGGGGGGGGGGGGATGGTGTAGCAGAAGCTGCGGCCGACGCAGAATCTGCAGCCAGGTGCTGCCGCTGTGGCTGTGGCTCTGGCTTAAGCTGCTGGAGCTAAAACTGTTGCCAACGTCAAACCAAACCAAAGCCACTTATTGGTTGAACAAATTTAATTGGCATCAGCAACAGGATGACGCAAGACCATGGGGCGATTCTCGCAATTGGTGGGGGGGCCCGAACAGCGGCGGGGCATGTGGCAGCAACAGTGACAGCAACAATGACAACGATACGTTAATGCAGGTTAAACTGCCGCCACGGATGGCTGACTCTGTGCCGAGGCAAAGTCATTGCCGCACAGAGACACAGACACCACAATAACAGGCCCCAGTTTCATAAAATTGAATTGATTTGTGGGCTCGGCCTCCGAGTTCTTATTGCTCTCACATTACATTTTTGAATGCTGAATGCTGAATGTTGACTTTCAACAGCGGTTTACATAGCGCAAGTCCTTAATATATGTTTCTAATAGCATCTTTTTTCTTTTCTTACTTTCCGCACAGCCTGCTCAGCTGGACCGCACGAGAAGCGTTTGCTGCACGCTCTGCTGGACAACTACAACAGCTTGGAGCGGCCCGTGGTCAACGAATCCGATCCATTGCAATTGAGTTTCGGTCTAACACTAATGCAAATCATCGATGTGGTGAGTTCATAAATCCTAAGCTTGTATATTGAGAGGCTTTTTATTGTAATCCTCAAATTATTCTCAATTCTATTCGAGTTTACAACAGGCAGGCCTGTGTATTTTAATCTCAGCTGAAATACCAGAATAACATTCAGCTATATTAACTAATATTAAACTAATAAGCTTATCAAAATCCGAACCAAGAACGAAATCAATCCAACTGACTAGTTCTACGCATCTTGTATATAGCACAATATGTTGCTTAGAAAAGCCATATCATTGAGCTAATTTTGGTAAAATGTTATTTATCTGTCTGCCCATACCATTCAGGGAAACCTTTTGCATGGATGTTATTTCTTGTTATGCCCTGAATTAAAATTAGCTACAAGATGCAAATTCTAGTACACATTTATGCAACAGGAGAAAATTGCTGCAAATATAGCTCCATAAACATCATCACGAAGATGAATTTAGTTGCTGGAATACCTGTCCGGTTTTCTGTTTGTGAGAACGTGTCGAATTTGGAGATGAGCAAATTATATTCAAAGATTAATTGTGTTTGTTTTTTCCCATACCATGCGTTATATACGTATGTGTCTTACTCATTAAATATTAAATTTCAATGCGATTGGCGTCAATAAGGATTTACAGAGCTTACTTTTTTTATGATAATGTCATAATTTGTATGAATATTTTAAACATGTTTTAACTTTGATTTTTTTTCTCTCTCGCTCAAAAGAAAATCGCCCTTCTATGCAAATCTCAATACTATTAAATTATACTTAAATTATTGAACTATGATAACTGATCAACTGATAATTTGCGACATTCTGTATACACATAAGTAAATTCAAGTGGCGTACAGGGTATTTTATAGTCGAGCGCCCTAGAAGTTAACACTTTTACTTGTTTTGCAATGGTATTGGTAACCGGAACTTGAACATGTTTTGCTGCGTATGGATTTTGGCTTGGGACCATTCAAAGCTAAAAGCTGAGCTCAGCTGACGTTCGGCAAACATTTGGCAAATGATGGCACGACACCAATTTCTGGACTGACTTACTGCCCCAGTCCAATTGTGTGTGCGTCTGTGTGTGTGTGGGTATGTGTGTTTGTGTGTGTGTGTGTGTGTGTGTGTACTTGAGTGTTTGCGTGCGTATTTATGTGCTTTTTGCAGGCACTGCTGATGGCTGCTGCCGATGAACGACATTATGCGCTAGAGATGCCAAGTTCCAAGTCCCAAATTCCGAAACCAAAAGCTCCAACGACGCGTGCAAGACAACAAAAAATTATGCCATGAGTGCACATTATGGCCATTAGCCAGAAGTGCCAAGTTGCTGCCTCTGTCGCAGATTATGTGGCAGCATCAGCATCAGCATCAGCAAAAGATTGCATGGGAGCACTGGAGGCGTCGCAAGTGCCGACACTTTCCAACTCAAAACTCTACAATTTACTTACCATGCTTGAGTTAAGAGTCAAGCCATAAAGTATTGCCACTTGCCAGGCGATTATTCGTTTTAGAGCCTGTGAATGAGCTTCAAATCGTTACACATCATAGATTGCCAGAAATGGAATGCCTCGCAGGCAACGGCAAGATAATTGCGTATGTGTGATTTGTTTCAGACACAACTTTTGCACTCAAAATTGAATTTTTTCTCATTTAACTCAGGTTAATTACGATATTTGTTTTCGAACCCAGCGGGGCAATTTAGAAGTGATAAACTCTTAATATACTAATATAAGCTCTAGTCAGCGTTTTTCATGGGAGAACCAGGAGACAAGGCAAACATTTGAGTAACTTTCAGTATGCTGAAATCTCTAATTAAAAAGCCTTGCTAAGCATGTGAGAGCGAGAGGGAAATAATTATGGACAGGTTTTAGTTTAACTAGAATTCGCTTAGCCATAGTTGAAATCATACTAATTCATATACATGTATAAAGGTAAAAAGTCCGTGCCAACAAAACTCATCATCAACATCATTGTGATGGCAAACTTTTATAGGTCGTTGGCCTGTGCCCGACCTGCCTGTGGTCTGCTGGCTGGCATACACATATTCGGGCATGTATGCATGTGTGTGTGTGTGTGTTGTACCTGTATTTTTGTGGAATGTTGCAAGTTTGTATAAATGCACCAGCAGTATGCAAATAGTGACAAAATGGCCGTAATTGGATGAAACGGAAATGAGGTAAAAGGAAGCGGACAGGCAGACGTTGAGGCTGCCCGCTGTGCTGGGCTGTGCTCGGCACCTGATAAAGTGAGCTTCGAAGTGCGCTAATTAAAAGTGCCGTTACCCGCAAACAGCTGCTCAGGCCCATTCAGAGCGCCCGGCCACCACAATTTGCAAACGGTTTTTGATTGCAAGGCGAGCGTTGAGTGGGGAGTGGAAAAAGGAAGATGCTGCTACTTGTGATTTGAACAAATCGCGCACAGCTTCAACTAGACGAAAGTACACAAAAGTGATAAAGAAACTGGAGATGCGACAAAGCGCAGATAGCTGAACAATGTTAAAGCGAGTGACGAGTAACGAGTAACTAGCAGTAAGTCTAGTAAAAAGCAGCTAATGAACAGCAAGTAACGAGTAGCAAACTACGAGAAACGAGTAACTATCACCGAGTAACAAGAGCAATGAGAAGCGAGTAACAAGCAGCGAACACCGACGAATAGCAAGTAACGAGTGGCAAATAACATGTAGCGAGTGACGAATATCGAATAAAACCAGAAGCGAAAGTCTAGTAAAAACTAGCTAATGAGCAATCAAAATTAGCGAGTAAGGAGTGGGGAGTAACGAGAAGCAAGTATCAAACAACTAACAACAAGCAACGACTTCCAAGTACCGAGTAGCGAGTTATGAGTAGCGAGCTACGAGCAGCGAGTATCGATAAGCGTGTAGCGATTAACGAATAGGGAGTAGCCTACAACGAGTTACAAGTAACGAGTAGCAAGCAGTGAGTAGCGAGTGTTGAGCAGTATGTTACGAGTATAAATATTAAGTCAACTTGAACTGAATGCCCGGCAAAATACGTCAAAACCAAAGCAGGTTTTAATGCTGTGTTAAGGTATCAAAACACCAAAAACGGTCCGGGCAGACTCGTAGATCAACCACAATTCGCATCTCAGTTACATTTGATTAATTGATTACATTGAGATGAATTTAGGCTATCATGTATGCATGAAATTAGTTATAAAATTAATAATAATAGAAATTAATTAGTCAAATGTAATATGTTTGTCGTATCGAGTCGAAGTAAATTGCATTTAGAAATTAATTTGACAGGGTTTGTTTGGCTATAGATAAATGGCCCAGCTCGATGGGTTGCTCTGATAATTTGCTGTGAGAGTGTGTGCCTTCTCTCTTGAATTATTCTCAAGTACTTGAAATAACAAATAAAAATAAAGTAGCTCAGCTTTCTTGCGCTCTAATGAGGGTCATCTTTTGGCAACCTGCTGCCTGCTGGCTGCCGCCTGCCTGCCGTACAGTGCAGCGATTACAACTTAACTGAAGATATCATTGTGTTTGGTGTTGGCTGCTAATTAAGTTGGAAGCTTTAGCCGAATCCCAGAGCCAGTTAATAACATTTCGCGGGTTGGCCCTGGCTGTGGCAGTGAACGAACGTCGCGTCGCATCGCATCGCATCGCATCGTCGAGGCACTTGACAGTAATAGTAATGTGCGATGTCTAGGGACAGGAACCGGGGATCGGGATTAGGATTGGGATTGGGATTGGGAATGGGAAGCACGCCGGTCACTGGCAGTTCACTTTGCTTTGACTTGGCTAATAAAAGCATCGCATTGTTTGACAATTTGCCATTGCATACTTTTGGGACTTCTTTAGCCCATCCCCACGCCTGCTCTCTCTTTCGCTCCTCCCTTTGACTCTCGTGCCTCTCGCAGTGTTTCCCTCTGTGCAGTGCACTACTAAATTACAAACATAAATCACTTGATAAGTGACGCCTGCGCTGCCCCCAGGCTGCCTGGCTGCCTGGCTGCCAGGCTGTCTGTGGCGGGTTGAAGCATGGGTTAGGGGCAGGTTCATGGGTAACGCGAGGATGCGGGAGCTTATCAGCTAAACAGCAATCAGGTCAGCAAAAGCAACAGCCAAGTACTCATCCTAGTGGCTATATGTGGGCGTCTGCAATGTGTATGTGTGTGTGTGAGTGTGCAAGTGTGTGTTTCTGCAGTTGCACATCTTTTTGTTAAGTTCACTCGAACATAAATTTCTTTAGAATTGTCAATGGCAGCAGCTGCAGCGCCTTAAGCCCCCAGACCAAAAACCCTTCAGGTCTCTAGTGTGTGTTGCTCTCTCTCTCTCACTTGCTCTTGCCCTCTCTCTCTCTCTCCCTTCCTCTCTCTCTCTCTCTATAGCGCCTTGCCAGTATGTGTGCGTGCGTGTTTCTCAAGCTTTTTGCTACATACTTGTCTTCTTAGTACACACCCACATCCACACATTCATGCCCACACACACACACACACACACACTCATGCTGTCATTTCTGCAGCACTTTTGTTGCACTTTGCACTTGGCATTTAATGGATATAGCATTGTGCAAAAGAAAAAAAGTAACTGGCGCTTGCGGTGTGCAGGAGTAAAGGCGGGCAGGCGGCCAGGGAACACGCTGCGTATGAGTGATTTTTATAGCTTGAAAGTATGCATCAACAATATTTGTCACACTTGAGATGACTTCAGCTGCGTGGGCGTGGCAACCGCTGATTGTTTAATGACATCATTCGGCGCAAATTATTTACGCTGCCGCAGTTCCGGAGTTCAAGGTCGGCGTTACGCAAAGCATTTGAAATATGCCTTCACCCTTTGTTTCGGCAATTTCATTTTGTGTTTCTTTCGGCAATCGCTCAAAGTGTGCGTCAAAGAAATATTTCAGTTTATTTATCAGCAAGTTGACGCTCTTTAAAATTGTTACTCGTTACTTCACACCTTCCACTTTTCACATAGTCGCCTATGCGATTCTGTGCCTCTCTGTCTGCCTGGCTGCCGGGCTGGCTGGGTTTATATCCTGCGTCATA